CTATTAAACCTTAAAAAAACAATTTATTCGATTAAATAAAAAAAAATACAATGAAGACATTTTGATGTCCAGTAAACTTCCAAAGTTTAACCCACATTTAACAACCCTAGAGAGTGGGAAAACCAAACCGGGAATAATATCGTTAAAAAACCTCTAAAGCTCTCTCTCATTTGCTTCCCTGTTCCCGTGTCCATTGTGTTGCTCGAGTAAAAGCTTAAAGTGAATCTCGTTAAGCCTGGATTTAATTGCAGCTGAGCTTACCGAAAAACTTCTTCCTCATAAGTTTTGGAGTTTTATTTAAATCCAAATTTTTACGGATGATATCCGTACACTGATATCAAGAAAAAAGTGAATTTCCGACGCAGATTATAATCATAATTATTATTCCTTTTATTTTAATTCAGTAAGAATATTCTACCGGGCCCCAAAAAACAAACTTTCGTTTTATAAACACTTCGATTTAAAAAATTATAATTTTGTAATTTAACTTTATATTTTTTGATATTTTAAATGGACTCATTTTGCAAAAATGATCCAACCGACAGTATATTTAACGAAAACGTTTATTTTCTTAAATTAATTGAATTCAATATTTAGTTTAATTTTTTTTCTCTAATAAAGGATATTTTTTTAAATAATTTTAAGTTGTTGATCGCAAATTTTTTCAAATGTGTATATTTCCAAAAAAAAACAATTTTTCCCAAAAAGGCAATTTGAACCCTTAAAGTGAAAAATCCGATTATATACCAAAAAACGAAAATAAAACTTATATGGAATAATTATTTAAAAATTGTTAAAATAAAACATAAGAACAACATTTATTACAAAAACAAATCAAAATGGTTAAAACTAGAGTTTAAAAGTATCGAAAAAAAACCGGAAAAATTGGAAGAAAAACTGTTTTTTTCCAGGCCTTTGAAAAATTGTCTTTTTTGGGAAAAATTACTTTTTTTTTCGGAAATAATAATAAAAGTGGCAATCAACAACTTAAAACTACTGTTTTTGTCAGATATTTATAGTAATTTTACAATTTTATATTGTAGCATTGAATTTGAAATTTTGTAAAATTTCTTTACATATTCGAAATTTAATTTTACTAGGATAATTAATAAAATTACTAACCAACATTTGCTATTTGAATTACAATAAGTGTTTGGAAATATACAAATCATTATTTATTTTATTCTGTTTATATATAATTTTAATTATATACACTGTTTTTTGTAAAATTACAATTGTATTGAAATCAGTGTATACCAATACAAAATTATAATACAATTTGAGTAATCTTCCAAGACATGTTGGGAAATCTACTAAGATAAGTTGTAATTTTACAATCTATATGTATAAATCCTACAGGCATTGTAATTTTACTAAACAGTGACAGTTTCTAATAAAAAGCATCTCAGATTTACAAACGTTGTACCGATTGCGGCAATCACGTGTGGTTCTTACATCTCACCTCGGTTGACTTAGGTGGACAGTATATAAGCTCATGTGTCTTTCGTTTTTGGTGTGTTCAAATCCACCAAATTGCCCGATATCGATAAGACCCAAAATAGGTATCTATCTAGCTGTCTGTCGGTATTTGAAGTTGGTGGAACGTACTTAAAACAAAAACTCTGGCAAGGTTTAATTTTTTTACAGTAATGGGTTAAGAAAGTTTCTTGAATAAACTAAGAAAATTGCAGGTTTTTTTTTCGTAGTATAATTAAAATACCATCATTCGTCAATTTCTAAATATTTTTAGTGTAATTTGTTGTACAAAATAAAAATTAATTGTATTGTAATATTGCAAACCGAATTTTCTTCAGTTCAGTAAAATTGTAAAATATATTTAGTAATTTTCATTAACAAAATAATGATTTATAAAGTTAAATTACAAATTTTAAATTTAATAAATATGTGTCAAATAAAACGATAATTATGTTAATACAGCACGAAATATTCTTATCGAATTAAAATAGTAGGAATAAATATTATAATCATAATATAATATTATGATTATAATCAGTCGGAAATACACTTTTTTCTCAATTTCAATGTATGGATATATTTTTAATAAAATTGACTTGGGCAATTTGTTCGTACTACACTTTGGATAAATTTTTCTAAAAATTACCAATTTTTCCGTTTTTTTTTTCGACGGCTCATTTTTTCCGGAATTTTGAAAACCCTAGTTATAACCGATAATTTTAATGTTTTGGATTTCAGAAATTATTTTTTGTTTAATTTTATTTTATTTGAACTATTTTGAAATATCCATAATAACATCAGAAATAAATTAAGACCAATCATCAACGAAAATCGAAACGATTATCCAAAATCAAATAAAACAGTTCCAAATTATATAAGGGAAAATAAAATTATGAAAATGGTGAGAGAAAAATAACATTATAGAAAATTATTTGACACTTAAAAAAAATTATTTAATAAAAACAAAAACTCTGACATACCGTTTGCGCACGTCGCTGGTACTCTCATAATGAACAGGCATTTCACTTTTAATAAAACATAAAAAATAGCCAACTGGTGCTTGTCTGACATAATAAATTAAAACAATAGAAATTGGGCCTTGTATCTTGGCAGTGGAGAAAACCTTAAGGCAACGTAATTAGTGCCAAATTTTAAAAATATATTGCACGCTGCTTTTGTGACATGTACGTTTGCCCGCCAAAACATGATCGCTACGGAATGCGAAAAAAATTCAAGTCTAATTATAAGCGAAGATGTTAAAGTTTATGTAACCGTAAATGAGATGTTCATTAAGTGTGTGCAGTGACGTAGGGTGGATAGGTACTGTGACGATGGGAATATCGTGCCAACAAAAATAATAATAATACATTGTAAAAAGATACATCAAGTTTTTCCAAAATGAAATTACTGAATTATGTTTCTCTGTATTTAATTACACAGGGTTATATTTCACAACACAAATTAAACCCAAGTAAGTTTTAGTAAAACGAGATGAGTGATTAAATAGGTTCACACGAATAGTGTTTAACAATTTCAGCCTAATTAACTTTAGGGTTTGTAAAATGTTATACAAAGTTTTGTCCAAGCACACAAAAAAATCTTTAGGTCCTAAATAAGACTTTTCATAATCATAAAAATTGTCAACTGGATCAATACAAACTTACTTTGTACACCGTCTAAAATGTTTATTATCAAACATTTCAAGTATCCTGAAATTTTATAAAATACTCTTTAAATTTTACTAACTAAATAAATTGTTTTATAAATAATGTGCACTAGACTGGGCCAAAAAAATCGACTATTTTTTGTTTTGTAAAGTATATCGAAAATATTGTTTGGGGCGACAAAAAAAAATATGGTGAAAGTTTGAGTCCATAATATTTATAGGTCTATCATCGCAATTTTAGATTTTTTTTCCTGAGCGAGTTTTTGTCTCAGAACTCCCAAACCATTTAGTTTAACAAATTTGACTTAAGAATATTTTTTGAAGAAAATTGAATGCTCTACAAAAAAGGTTTGACTAGAATTTCCCGTCAGATGAACCGTTTTCTTACAATCATGCCTTAAAAATTTATATAGTTTTACAATTTAATATTTTATTTTGTAATTCATGTAAAAATCAGTACCCAGAAAAAAAACGATAAATATTCTTATGGGAAATCAAATGCTCTACAAAAAAAGTCTTTTATCATTTTTGGCTAAATTCACTCCATCAAAAGTTATTCAAGGTTACATTTGAAGTCAAAACGAAATTTTAACCTTGAATAACTTTTGATTGAGTGAATTTAGCCAAAAATGTTAAGAGGCCTTTTTTGTAAAGCATTTGATTCCCCATAAGAATATTTATCGGTTTTTTATGGGTACTGATTTTTACATGAATTACAAAATTCCAATTTAAAAGATCAAAATGTAAAACTATACCAATTTTTAAGGCATGCTTTTAAGGAAATGGTTCTTTTGACGGAAAATTTCACTTTAACCTTTTTTGTAGAGAATTTAATTTTCGAGTCAATTTTGTTAAACTTAATGGTTTGGGAGTTCTGAGACAAAAACTTGCTGAGGAAAAAAATATTAAAATTGCGATGATAGACCTCTTAATATTAATATTATGGACTCAAACTTTCACAATAATTTTTTTTGTCATACCAAACCATATTTTCCATATACTTTTCAAAAAAAAATAGTTGATTTTTTTGGCCCAGTCTAATGTGCACTCGTTTATAAACTTTTTAGGCACTCATTTAATTAAGCACTCGCTTGCTCGAGTCTAAATTAAATTCGTGACTAAAATGGCGTTCACTATTATTCCATAAGTGAGAACCACACTGTATTTAAGTAAAATGTCAATAAAAAAATGTTTCATAAAAATTCCACTTTTATTAACCATACCACAAATTGAATTACACTTTTTTGCCATTTTTCCATTTATACAACCTCATATTTTCGCTTGAATAACTTTTCCTTCAAGGCGAAAATAAAATGAATTTCTTGAACTTGATCTAAATCCAAAATATATTTTTAGTTTCTGGTAACGGATTTCAGTTTAAAAAATGTAACCAAAAGGTCAATGATCCGACCCTAAACCTACATCATGTCTTTGTACGTTTTTCTTGCGATTTTTTTTCGATTCTTGTCCGTTTTATTTTGTTAAACATCTCTCAAGTTAGGAAAGAAAATTGTTTTTCTCTAAGGAACGTGACTGAAATATTTAAAGGGTAATATCGTGAAGAGATAAGGGCCTTTATTTTTGGGGTTTTGCATTTAATTTTCCTAAAATATTCAAGCAAATTGATACAGCTTAAGATTAAGAACATTTGTGCTTTCAAATGTTCATTCATTTACTTAAAAATAACTGAATGAACTGCATAAAGAGAAATTTAAAAGAAAATTATGTTTATAACTTAAAACGACTGATAAAAAAATCCATTGAGGGTGCTTTTTACCTTAAATAAGTTTCTGTTGCATCTTATTGATAAATGAAAGGGAATTTATTTTAGCAGTTTACGACATAAAATATCGCTTACCTTTTTTTCTTTTCCTTCAAGCCATTGACATCAAACTGGTCCTTGATTTCATTGATAAAGGACACTTTTCTTTCGGGCGACACTTCGTCATCGTCATCATGATGACGGTAACTGCAAGGATCTGACAGCACGCATTCCGACTCAGATTCACTGTCAGCTTCGTCCGTCTCCTAATCAATTAAAATAAAATCGTTTTGTCATTATTTAAGCTTGTCATAATTTTAACTTGTCTTGATTTTAGTACGTCACCATTTTAACTTTTATTCATTAAGCTTGTCATCATTTTATACCTGTCGTAATTTTAGTTTGTCATCTTACCTTATCATTTAAGCTTGTCAATTTTTAGCTTGTCATCATTTTAGAATGTCGTCCTTGTACTACGAGGACTACAAGGCTTGTAGCATGTTAACATTTTAACTTGTGTTCATTGTAGCTTGTTATAATTTTACCATGTCATTTTAAATTGTTATAATTTTAACTCGTCGTTAGCATGTCATAATTATGGCGTTATTTACTACGTTTTACAGCTTGTCATCATTTAACATAGTCGTCATTTTAGCTTTTTCCTCCTTTTCTTTATGAAAAAAAAACATTTCAGCTTGTCGTCATTTTCACATTTTAACTAGTATTTATTTTAGCTGATCATTATTTAAGATCGTCATCATTTTATACTTTTCGTAATTTTAGCTCATCCTTTTAATTTTTCATTTTAGCATGTAATAATTTTAGTTAGTGGTCTTATTTTAACTTCTTATAATTTTATTTTTGTCATCATTTTAGCTTGTCGTCATTTAAGCATGTCTTATTTAAACTTGTATTCGTTTAAGCTTGTCATCATTTTAGCTTGTCGTAATTTTAGTAAGTTTTACATATTGTCATCATTTATCAGTCGTCATTTAAGCTTGTTGTAATTTGAGCATTTTAACTAGTATTCATTTTAGCTTGTCATCATTTTAATCTACTTAATTTTGTCGTTATTTTGGCTTGTTGTCATAATTTTAGCAGTCTTCCTTTTAATTTGCCATTTTACCATGTAATAATTTTAGCTTGTGGTTTACCTTATCATTTTAGTTGTCATCATTTTAGCTTGTCATCATTTTAGCTTATCGTCATTGTAGCATGTCTTTTAACTTTTATTCATTTTATCTTGCTATCATTATAGCATGTCATAATTATAGCCTGTCGTCATTTTAGTATGTTTTACATCTTTTCGCCATTTAAAATAGTCATCATTTTAGCTTTTTCCCCCTCCTGTCTATAAAAAGTAAAACATTTAAGCTTGACGTCATTTTAGCATTTTAGCTTGTCATTATTTTAACTTGTCCTTATTTTAGTATGTAATCCACTTAATTTTTTCTATTATTTTGGCTTGTTATTTAAGCTTGTCATCATTTTAATTTGCCATTTTAGCATGTAATAATTTTAGCTAGTGGTCTTACCTTATCATTTTAGCTTGTCGCTATAATTTTAGATTTCCCCCCCACCTCTCTATAAAAAATAAGCATTTAAGCTTTTCGTCATTTTAGCATTTTAACTAGTATTGATTTTAGCTTGTCATCAATTTAACTTGTCCTAATTTTATTTTTGTAATCATTTTAGCATGTCATCATTTTAACTTTTAGTATGTTTTAAATATTGTCATTATTTAACATAGTCGGAATTTTAGCTTCATAATTTTAGCTTTTTACCCTCCATCTCTATAAAAAACATTTAATCTTGTCATCATTTTAGCATTTTAACTGGTATTTATTTTAGCTTTTCGTCATTATGGATGGTCGTTATTTTAGCTCGTCATCATTTTAAATTGTCGCCATAATTTTACCCCCCTCCTTTCTATGAAACTAAACATTTAAGCTTGTCGTCATTTTAGCAATTTAAGTAGTATTGATTTTAGCTTGTCATCATTTTGGCCGTTCGTCATTTTAGCACGTCATCATTTTAACTTTTATTCATTTTATCTTGCCTTCATTGTAGCATGTCATCATTTGAACTTTTACTCATTTTAGCATGTAATTATTTGAACTTGTATTCACTTTAGCTTGTCATAATTATAGCATGTCTTTATTTTAATATTTAAATACTGTCTTTTAGCTTGTTGTAATTTTAGCTTTTTACCCTCCATCTCTATAAAAAACATTTAATCTTGTCATTATTTTAGCATTTTAACTAGTATTGATTTTAGCTTGTCATCATTATGGATGATCATTATTTTAGCTTGTCATCATTTTAACTTTTAATCATTTTAGCTTGTCGCCATTTTAGCATGTCATTATTTGAACTTGTATTCATTTTAGCTTGTCATCAATTTAGCATGTCATAATTATAGCCTGTCTTTATTTTAGTATGTTTTAAATATTGTCATAATTAAACATAGTCGTTATTTTAGCTTGTCATAATTTTAGCTATTTACCCTCCATCTCTATAAAAAAACATTTAATCTTGTCATTATTTTAACTTGTCCTAATTTTAATTTTGTCATCATTTTAGCTTGTCGTCATTGTAGCATGTCATCATATTAACTTTTATTCATTTTAGCTTGTCGTCATTTTAGCATGTCATTATTTGAACTTGTATTCATTTTAGCTTGTCATCAATTTAGCATGTCATAATTATAGCCTGTCTTTATTTTAGTATGTTTTAAATATTGTCATAATTAAACATAGTCGTTATTTTAGCTTGTCATAATTTTAGCTATTTACCCTCCATCTCTATAAAAAAACATTTAATCTTGTCATCTTTTTAGCATTTTTACTGGTATTGATTTTAGCTTGTCATCATTATGGATGATCGTTATTTTAGCTTGTCATCATGTTGGCTGTTAGTTATTTTAGATTGTCATCATTTTAACTTGTCCCAATTTTATTTTTGTAATCATTTTAGCACGTCATCATTTTAACTTTTATTCATTTTATCTTGCCGTCATTGTAGCATGTCAACATTTGAACTTGTATTTACTTTAGCTTGTCATCAATTTAGCATGTCATAATTATAGCATGTCTTCATTTTAGTATTTAAATATTGTCATCATTGAACATGGTCGTTATTTTAGCTTGTCGTAATTTTAGCATTTTACCCTCCATGTCTATAAAAAAACATTTAATCTTGTCATCATTTTAGCATTTTAACTAGTATTGATTTTAGCTTGTCATCATTATGGATGATCATTATTTTAGCTTGTCATCAAATTAACTTGTTCTCATTTTATTTTTGTCATTATTTTAGCTTGTCGTCATTCTAGCATGTCATCATTTTAACTTTTACTCATTTTAGCTTGCCGCCATTTTAGCATGTCATTATTTGAACTTGTATTCATTTTAGCTTGTCATCAATTTAGCATGTCATAATTATAGCCTGTCTTTATTTTAGCATGTTTTAAATATTGTCATAATTAAACATAGTCGTTATTTTAGCTTGTCATAATTTTAGCTATTTACCCTCCATCTCTATAAAAAAAAACATTTAATCTTGTCATCATTTTAGCATTTTAACTAGCATTGATTTTAGCTTGTCATCATTATGGATTATCGTTATTTTAGCTTGTCATAATTTTAGCATGTCATTATTATAGCCTGTCGTCATCTTAGTATGTTTTACATCTTGTCATCATTTAACATAGTCATCATTTTAGAATTTTAGCATGTAGTTATTTTAACTCGTCATCATTTTAATTTGTCCTAATTTTAGTATTTAATCTACTTAATTTTGTCGTTATTTTGGCCTGTTGTTGGCTGTCATCCTTTTAATTTGCCATTTTAGCTTGTCATTTTTTAAGCTTGTCGTCATTTTCACTTTTACTTATTTTAGCAAGTCATTATTTAGCTTGTCATAATTATAGCCTGTCGTCATTTTAGTATGTTTTAAATCATTTAACATAGTCGTCATTAAAGCTTGTCATAATTTTAGATCTCCCCATTCCTCTCTATTAAAAAGAAACATTTAAGCTTGTCGTCATTTTAGCATTTTAACTAGTATTGATTTTAGCTTGTCATCATTTTGGCTGTTCGTTATTTAAGCTTGTCATCATTTAATACTTGTAATTTTAGCTTTTGGTCTTATCTTAATATTTTATGTCATCATTTTAGCTTGTCGTAACTTTAGCATGTCATCATTTTAACTTGTATTAATTTTAGCATGTCATAATTAAAGCCTGTCGTCATTTTAGCATGTTTTACAAATTTAACTTTAAAACAGAGCTTAATTGTTTTAATGTTTTTCCTGTCTAAAACTCTATACTTATAAGTATACTTTGTTCCAGGTAACATATTTATAGCATCATTTTTATCATTTTTATATTTCAAAAAGCTCTTACCTCTAAGATGTCCGAGTTGAGCTGTCCGGTGTCCGAGTCGATCCTGGACCGGACGGAGGACAGGGGCGTATCGCTCGCCGGGGCCTCGGTGGTTTTAAGGGAGGGGGAGTCAGGGAGGTAGTCGTCGGTGTCCCGAGGGGGGCTCAGACTCAACGGGGTGGAGTTGGATGGAGTGGTTTGGCTGCTGGAGCGACGCCTCATGGATTTTGAGCCCAGTTTGAGCGGAGCGTGCATGTGGGGGTAGCTCCTTTTGCGGTGCTCTAAAAAGAAAGAAAGAAAGATTTTTCTCTACGACTACTTAAGAATAGTAACATTCTAGTGTAATTTTTGATCATAGAAAGGATGTTTTTCTGCAATACTGTGCGAGAATATTCCTACTCTTGTTTAAGAATGGTCACAAGTAACGACATCTCCTGGCTGTTTACTAAACGTAAAAAATTTAAAAATATTTAAATATTACTGTATTATTTATTAATTAAAAAATAATAGCAGTTGTATAATTAAGGTTTAGGCACAAAAAATTAGTTATATTTATTGTTTTTCAAATATACAAATCAAAATTATAATAAATTTGATATTGAAATGATAAACCAGTTACCTACTATACCGGCTTTGAAGTTTTGACAGATTCAAAAAGTTTAAAAAAGACCCTTAAAATGTAGAAAAAGAATAGATGTTGACATAGATTACTTGTAAAATTAGTTTTGTATTTGTTACAATGTTATTTTTTTTATTAGTTAGTGTAAATAACTATTTTTAATTATAATAAAGATTTGGGCATACCATTTGTTTAAATTTATTATAATTCACATTATAAAATTGTGACGGCACAAAATGGTTTGACAATACAAAAAACTTAAATGTCAAAAACTGCTTGGTTTCTTTTCTCTGTTTAAAATTATATAAGCGTTACTATTCTTACGTAGTCGTAGAGAAAATAATGTCTGAAACCCGTTTGGAATAGCATATTCCACTCTCGTAAAACCGTCACACTCGCCTTCGGCTCAAATTTTTCCTCGAGCGGAATATGCTGTATTCCAAACTTGTTACAGAATGTACTATTTTTAGCAACCTTTCCAGATAGCACAAGAGGTACCCAGGACGCCCATTTCGGGTCCCACATAGGACGGAAGTTTTGGGTACGTCCAGTCTCTTACTTATTTGGGAAAATTATAGCGGATATACTCGGTACGTCCAAAGGACGTAATTTTTGTTTTTTTTTTAGCAATTAAAGCATGGTATTTCCAAAAGGTCTAAGTGTTAAGTTGGCTAAATAATATATCATCATTTAAAAATAGTTTGTGTCATGCAAAATGACTTAAAAAATATTCCAACATTTATACAGGGTGATGTAATTAATGTTATATATTAAAATACTGAATACCTTTTGACATAAGGAATAAAGGAAAAATATTTAAAAAAACATTTTTCCAAAGATAAAGAAAAAATATGCATTAGAAGTTTTTTATAATTTTTGTGATACGCCACTGGTTACACACTTGTTTATCTCTGCACACCTGTATTTTCTGAGTACATAGATACCAACCAACAAAGTAGGTAGGCGTTGCCAGATGTAAAAAATTGTTACTAAAAATTTTTCTTGCAAAAAATAAATAAAAACTCAATAATTACAAAAGTTTTATGCCCTTAAAGCTCTAATACCCTTCTGTATTTATTTACTGATCCAGCTTTTAGCTTAAGCAATGATTAGAAAATTTAGTACCTTTGAAATTTGAAATCCATAACCACAAAATTAATTTTTTCATCAGTTTTTTTCTCTGTTTACTCAGATGAAATTGGGACCAGTTCACAGGTTAAACTTTAAACATTTAATTTGTGTAAATAAATCCAAAAGCACTTCCCTTAGTTAAGATATTTACAATTTGAAAACATAACCTAAAATTTAAAAGAAATGCACTAGATTCTGTCATAAAAGTTGGAAGATTTTGTTTGAATTTACCTTCAGTACAAAAATGAAATAACCAACAATTAATAAAAATGCCAAATTGACAATTTGCATTGTTAATTTTGTCATTTTTGTAATTAAGCTAAATTTAAACAATGCTTGGCAACTTTTTTGAAATATTTTGGAAAAAAATGTTGTTACCAACCATAACATAATAAATCCACCAGATTAACCTAAAGTTCCTAGTCGATCAGTGGCGTACTTTTTGGTAGTATATTAAAAATTATTTTTAGACTTTGGAATTTAGAACAAAAAAGTTTCAGGTGCTTCTTTATGGACCCTAAGGAACAACCCATTTTAATATATAACATTAATTACATAACACCCTGTATGTTCAAAATATTTGTTTTTCATTGATAACTCACAATTTTTTTTTGTCACTTAGACCCTTTGGGAATACCACTCTTCAATTCTGTAGAGCTTGTCCAATTTTCCCCAATAAAGTATTTCAGGACGGCCAGAGGATGTCTTACTTAGGACGTTCTGGGGACCGACGATTTGGTAACATCGGATGTCCCTGGTACGTCCTGGGGAAGGTTCAGGACCTGATTCGGACGTACTCGGGACTAATGTCTGATACAAGATATACTCAGGACGTTTCCAGTACTTCTTTGTGCTATCTGGGTTTATCCCTTACCATTTTTGACTTTAAACCCATACGCAGTCAAAACCATAACTTGAACCAACAAAAATCCAAACCACAGTATATTCTTGAACTGATTCACAACAATAAACAATATTGAGTGGTCTTAAAATCAACAATGAACACTATTAAAGAAGGGTGACCTTAAAATTACACGCAAATCAAAACAGCTAATTGAAAATTAACCCAGTAAGTTTTTCTGAGATTTTTATGATATAGTTTTTTCTTAAAATTGTTATTGAATGTTTACAGGGTCTATAAAATGTTTAATCCCACGGCTAAATTACAAATTTTATTTAGGAGTTTAGGAGGTTTTTTGTAAAATTTTAGGAGAAATAAAGTAAGGAAATAAATTTCTTTAATTAAATAAAAAAAACTCTTTACTACTTAAAAAATAAGAAAAAATTCTTTTGTAAAAATAAGTTATAGACTAGTTTTTTAGCCAAATCGCTCGACGAGTTTTTTTTAATAAAATTAAAAGTAAGGTAAAATTACTACTTTTGTATATATGTATACAAGTATAAATTTCACCTAACTTTTAATTTTATTTAAAAAAATGCGTCGATAGATTTAGTTAAAAAACTATGCCAAAATCAAATGAATATTTATATTTTAAGAAATAATATGTCCAAAAGTAAAATTTTTGATAAAATATTTCAAAAAATCAGTTTTATAGTTCTAAATGCATTTTTGTTAGAATATTTTAACTATTTTATGAAATATAATAATAATAATAATAATAATATATACCTATCTTCTCTCAAAAATGTATTTTAAACTTTAAAATTGATTTTAGAAAATAAATTGTCAAAATTAAATTTTTGGACTTGTACTGTTCTTATTCTCACCGATTCAATTGTAATGTGGATCTTAATACTTAAAAAATTTCATAACAAAATATGAAGTTTGCAAAATACAGCAAAACATTTTTTAGATTGTTTACTATTTTAGCTGTCATTTACAAGAAAATTAAAAATCGTTTTGTTTGATATATCACACGGTATATTTTTGTCTAAAACAAACGAAATATGGCTAAAAATTACATTTTTGTAGAAGTTTTTTTTTTGATTTTAAGAAAATTTTGGTTGTGATATTATATCATTTTAAAAAGAATTTAATAAAATAGAACCTAAAAATATATATTTTTAAATAACTTTTTAAAAAAGAATTTTTTTAGTACTACCTTAATTAAACGCAGTCAGGTTGGCCTATTTAAATTTAATTTTTAGGATTTTAGGAGATTTAGGAGATTGAATGCAATTCTAGGAGAATTTTAGGAGTTTTCAAGATTTAAGCAAAATTTTAGGAATTTTATGAGTTTTAGGAGGTGTGGGAGTGTAGATTTAATCTACACTCACGTGCAAAATAATCGATACACACAAATTTTCGATGAATTTCAATCGGAAATAACTTTTTTATTTGATGTCCGATTTAAACGAATATTAAAGAATATTGTAAATAAATTAATAGACTAAAAAATAGACGTACGTTTATAATATACAGGTTTAAACAAAAAGATATTTTTTACCATAAGTTTAAAACACTCTGTAGAGTGGCAAAACCGTATATTGTTCTAAATTAAGTTTTATTTATCAAGTCACATCTATTCTTAACAGTTTTGTTTTTGGTTCACCTCGATATATTTATTTTTGTGAAAAATATGGATTTTTTTAAAAAACATTGCAATTTCCAATATTTTTCTGTATGAAGAACTAAGGTTGCTATGGTCCATCCATAGGCTATGGAGAATGACAGTGACAGTTTTGTTGAATCATCCCATACTTGGACATGTCATACACGGTTTTCAAAAGCTATCAAATTGTTTTTTGCAAATTAATGTTTAAATTTTGAGGTGTTTTATAAAATGTCTTATAAAATGGATATGTCTCCGACTGATGTTGCCAGAGCTATTAATTTAATCCAGGATGGACGGTCACAGTATTACGTGGCAAGTGTTTTAAACGTCATAAGAAGTACAGTACAAAGGGCAACATCAGTCAAAGACATTTTTAGAAGTAAGAAGACACCTCAAAATTAACACATTAATTTACAAAAAACAATTTGATAGCTTTTGAAAGCTGTATATGTCCAAGTATGGGATGATTCAACAAAACTGTCACTGTCATTCTCCATAGGCTATGGATGGACCATAGCAACCTTAGTTCTTCATACAGGAAAAATATTGGAAATTGCAATGTTTTAAAAAAAATCCATATTTTTCACAAAAATAAATATATCGAGGTGAACCAAAAACAAAACTGTTAAGAATAGATGTGACTTGATAAATAAAACTTAATTTAGAACAATATACGGGTTTGCCACTCTACAGAGTGTCTTAAACTTATGGTAAAAAACATATTTTTGTTTAAACCTGTATATTATAAACGTACGTCTACAATATTCTTTAATATTCGTTTAAATCCGACATCAAATAAAAAAGTTATTTGCGATTGAAATTCATCGAAAATTTGTGGATCGATTATTTTGCACGTGAGTGTACCTTCTCTCAAAAGTGTAATAACTACTTTTTGGTTGTAATTCCTCAAAAACCAGTGCGTCAAAAAATTTCAACAATATAATGTAGGTTAAATCATTATTATGTGACAGTTATGTCAATTTACAACTTTTTCACAAAGTTGCACTTCAGTAAAATAAAAATGCAGCAAGCTTTAAGAACAGCAGCGTCTTGCCTTGTTAAGCAAGAACTTCCGGAACTTCCCTACGCTTACAACGCATTGGAACCGGTGATTTCTTGCGCCATAATGGAACTTCACCACACGAAGCACCACAAAACTTACGTGGACAACTTCAACATCTTCCAAGAAAGATTACAGAAATCCATAGAAGACCACGATCCGACAAGCATAATCCAAAACTTTAAGGCTTTGCAGTTCAATGGCGGCGGTCACATAAACCATACGATATTTTGGAGGAATCTGACTCCGGATCAAACGCAACCAAGTCCAGAGTTATGCAAGGCGATTGATGCAAACTTCGGTGGTATGGATGAAATGAAATCTATACTATCGGCTGCTGCAGTAGGCTTACAAGGTTCAGGATGGGCCTGGTTGGGTTACGATCAAGTGGCACAAAGAATGGTGGTCAAAACTACGAACAATCAAGATCCCTTGGAGGCGACGACTGGGTTAAAACCATTACTCGGTATCGACGTATGGGAACATGCGTATTACTTACAGTACCAAAACGTAAGGCCCGCATATGTGAAGGCGATTTTCGACGTGGTGAATTGGAACGATGTATCGAAAAATTTTGCCAAAGCTTCGTGCTAAAGCATTGGAAAGTTTGTTGTACCATTTTGTGCCATCTTTACTTTCGTGCAAGTTTAATAAATATTACACGAGACATTTACTCAGCTGGGTTTTATAGTGATGGCATTTCGTGATGATATATTATTGATTTTATATAAATAAATGTTATTTAGAGAATTATCTTTTTATTTTATTTACTTACGGGTGTATTCTTTTTCCCCATACTGCCTCGGCATGCCAGGGGCGGGTACATCATGGAATTTATTAATATCAAACAAATTGACATCATTGTCCATTGCGAAGACTTTTGCGCACTCCTCGTCCAGCTGTACTTCTCCATCATTACTACTTCCATCATTCTGTAACATAATATTAATACATAAAAAAATATATCATGTAATGGGAACGATATACAGGGTGTTATGTAATTAATGTTATATATTAAAATGGGTTGTTCCTTAGGGTCCATAAAGAAGCACCTGAAACTTTTTTCTTTCAAATTCCAAAGTCTAAAAATAATTTATAATAACCTTTATCCTACCAAAAAGTACGCCTCTGATTGACTAGGAACTTTAGGCTAATCTGGTTAATTTATTATGTTATGGTTGGTAACAACATGGTTTCCAAAATCTGTCAAAAAAGTTGACAAACATTGTTTAAATTTAGCTTAATTGTTGGTTATGTCATTTTTGTACTGAAGGTAAATTCAAACAAAATCTGCCAACTTTTATGGCAGAATCTAGTGCATTTCTTTCAAATTTTAGGTTATGTGCTCGAATTGTAAATATCTTAACTAAGGGAAGTGCTTTTGGATTTATTTACACAAATTAAATGTTTAAAGTTTAACCTGTGAACTGGTCCCAATTTCATCTGAGTAAACAGAAAGAAAAAACTGATGAAAAAATTAATTTTGTGGTTATGGATTTTTAAAAATAGGTACTAAATTTTTTAATCATTGCTTAAGCTAATAGCTGGATAAGTAAATAAATACAGAAGGGTGTTAAAGCTTTAAGGGCATACAACTTATGTATTTATTGAGTTTTTATTTATTTTTTGGAAGAAAAATTTTTAGTAACAATTTTTTACATCTGGCAACGCGTAGCTGCTTTGTTGGTTGGTATCTATGTACTCACAGAATTCAAGTTTGCAGAGATAAACCAAGTGTGTAACCAGTGGCGTATTACAAAAAATATAAAAAACTTCTAATGCATATTTTTTCTTTATCTTTGTAAAAATATATTTTTTAATATTTTTCCTTTATTCTTTATATCAAAAGGTATTCAGTATTTTAATATATAACATTAATTACATAACACCCTGTATGGGGCAGTTGTAACGGAGTGAATTTAACTCTTGAATAACCAAGTTCAATGTTTAAATGTAGAATCAGTTTGTGTTATAAATAGTGCTACTAGGTATGTTTATTTTAAATGTAACTATTATAATCTAAGGTTACAATTGGAAATATTGTAAATATCAGAATAAGTGGTTAATTATTTAATATTTAACTTAAACTATATTTTATTATTATTTCATCTTATTCTTTGTGAAAGAAGGAATGAGTTAGACTTTGTCTTTTATGGTTGTGGTTGGACAATCCAAATTACATATTTATTATTATCATTAATTTATGTTTATAATTATTATATTTAACTTTGACATAACATTATATTGTACTGTAATGTACCATTTTACTACACATTTCTATTTAACATTTACATACTTTATTTTGTACAGTTTATATTATTTTATTTATTTAATAAATTGATATTCTTGATACTTTGTTTCAATTTCTATACCTTGTCATATTTTATACTTAACTGTTTAATTAATGTTTTTAACGTAAATATTTTTGTGACGTTTAATGTAATATTTATTTCATGAATAAACTTATCTTATCTTAACAAATACTTGGTAGAATTTTCTTTCTATTGTTTAACGTTTTGATAAGGTCGAAGGGGTCGATACCAGTAATTATCAATCAAGCCATTTTTTCAATGAATGTTAGCTAGGGCCCATGATGTGAGTTTTTGTGACATTGTCTTATTTTATTATTATTGATAATCATTTTATTTTGCTATATTTGATTTGCACTGACATAATTTTAATACTTTATTATACCTGATTGTATTTGTTATTTCTGACTGTACAATCAAATTGCATTACCGTTGTCCACTACTATACAATATAATTATATATTATTACCACTACCTATTATTGTTGTTGTTTGTGACCTAAGTTATATTATACTTTATGTTTCATATTATTGGTTTTTGTTGCTGTACATTGATAATTATTTCAATTTTTATTTTCTTTTCTACACCTTACTACTTTTCAAATAAAATGTTTGTTTATATTAGCAATAATATTAACCCTTGTATTAATTGTTTTATTAATAAATTATTTTTTAATTGAATACTTTTTTTTTGCTTTTTAAATATCTTTTCAATTGCTCAAGTACGAGGTGTGTTCAGAAAATATCGGGAACTTTTGTTTTTTGAAACAAATATTTATTTATTCGTCTACATTAATGTTTTCGTCTTCAAAATAGTCCCCATTGGATATTATGCACATGTGCCAGCTCTTCTTCCAATACTCGAAACACTTCTAAAACTCGATCTTTGGGATGGCCTTTAGTTCGTTCAGCGATGCGCTTTTAATGTCATCTATGCTTGCAAAACGACGGCCCTTTAAGGTTCTCTTTATTTTTGGGAATAGGAAAAAGTCAGACAGAGGCATGTCTGGCGAATATGGAGGCTGGGGCATCATTGCAGTATTGTTTTTGGCCAAAAATTTTGTTCAAAATTTAACAATTTTAAAACAAATTTTGCTGTCACGCGTTTCATACCCAAAACATTCGAAAAAATTTCATGGGATGAGCCTATCGATATAACAACATCATTAGCGACTTCTCTGATGGTTTATAACCATTTCTTCCACTTTTTCCATGTTTTTATCGGTTGTTAATGTGCTTGTGCGTTCGAGGCGTTCGTCATCTTCAACGTCTTCACGGCCATCTTGGAAACTCTTATACCACTTGTAAACTCTTGTTCTACTTATAGCAGACTCAATATAGGCCTTTGTTAACATTTCACAGAATTTAATTAATTTTTTAAGCAAAATTGGATACAAATTCTTTGATCCATTTCTTTTAACGAACAAAAAATCAACGAACTCATAAAACACGTCTAACCTTAGCGGCTGCCACAGACAAAGTAAAGAATGAAAACAGCTAAAGTTTTTATCATACTTCGGGGGCATGTATACTAGGGTGTCCGTTATTTACCAAGTTGATTTTTTTTCTTGCGACGCCCCCTAAATTTTTAGTCTATCGTCTAAAAAAAATTTTTAGACCAAAATAAACTCTTAATATTCATAATAAACCTTGCCCCAAAGACGATACATTTCCCATTCAAATTACATGGGATTTTGACACTTTTTTCAATTAATTCTTTTTTCCCCAGGCAAGATGACGTACAGCAATATATATATTCTTATAGTAAATTGAACGCTCTACAAAAAAGGTCTCTTATAATTTTTCGATTAAATCACTCGTTAATAAGTTATTCGAGGTGAAAGTTAAACTCTGTGTAAATTTTCAGATTTTTTTTACTTTTACGGCAAACTTATTATTATTTCGATGAAAGTTATTAGTTTATTTCTGAAAATAGATAATTCTGGTGGTATTAGGGTATACAATTTTTAAACCTGAAAAATAATAGACTGAATAACAGGTAGGTAGCTGGTTCTAGTTTTAATCATTTTTGAGACTTTATTTATAACACACAGTCAACTAATTTTTATTGAATTTCAAGTTTTTTATACTTTTATGAAATTTTCCTTCAATACAGTAAGTGACTCAAAATTACTCTTACAAGCATTCCCGCCAACACACGGAATTTTTATTGACGCAAGCGCGCTAAAGCGCATTGACGGCGCTTTAAGTCCTTTTAGTATTGTATACAAATATCTCTGCATATTGTTGTGAATGTTGTGTCGTACATTAACAGTAGTAATTTATATAATAAAATAATAAAACATTGCCGAATTTTTTACATTGCCGGTAACATAACAAAAAACAAAATTTAGAATTAGTGTAATTTTTAACATATAGGTAAATAAAAACTTTAAAATTAAATTTATATTGAAAATCTCATTAGAATTAAAATTTCACAAATAGTTCTAACCTATAAAAAATTTAGGTTCAATGGATCTAAGACTTCTTCTTCTTTTTTCTTGGTGGCTCAACGGAATCAATGTACCATTTTGACCAGCAACAAGTTTTTAACGTCCTTGAGTTTCACGAAGCCATCCACTCACGGACATGTGGAATTTCAAATCTTGAAACATCCACTAAATCGATTGCACAAATCACAAAATTCCTCGCTGAAAGGACAAACCTTGCGATATTGTCGAGAAATATTTCTATACCGGGAACCCCATTTTATCCTTCCTGGGTCAAAGTCAACTATTTTCAGACTTTTTCATGGAGCGATGAAGACAAAATATATTTTTCATTTACTGGCAAAAAGTTACCAACAAATAAAGAAGTTCTGCAACTACTGTACCATCACTCAAGAAATCGCAATAAATCTATTGATGACAGCTGTTCAATCGTTGTACGTGAAGTGGCAGGAATTTGCAGTGAAGCAGTAGTTCCAACTCAAATTAATTCACGTTGCATAACAAAATTAAAAAGTCTCTACGCAGAATACAGAAATGTACAAAAACATCTTAACCAAAAAAATAAAACAAAAGAGCAAGATTTGTCAAATAAACTCGAACAATTATTTGACATTGCTCACGGTGACGTTTTTAAAATGATCAAAGAACTCGACGGATTTTTCATATAAATATTGTAAATAAAAATTGTATACCTACCGTACCCTAATACCACCAGAATGAACTATTTTCAGAAATAAACTAATAACTTTCATCGAAATAATAATAAGTTTGCCGTAAAAGTAAAAAAAATCTGAAAATTTACACAGAGTTTAACTTTCACCTCGAATAACTTTTTAACGAGTGATTTAATCGAAAAATTATAAGAGACGTTTTTTGTAGAGCGTTCAATTTACTATAAGAATATATATTTCTCATTGCTGTAAGTCATCTTGCCTGGGAAAAACAGAATTAATTGAAAAAAGTGTCAAAATCCCATGTAATTTGAATGGGAAATGTATCGTCTTTGGGGCAAGGTTTATTATGAATATTAAGAGTTTATTTTGGTCTAAATTTTTTTTTTAGACGATAGACTAAAAATTTAGGGGGCGTCGCAAGAAAAAAAATCAACTTGGTAAATAACGGACACCCTAATGTATACCAACATAAATTTTTTTATTTTATGACAACCGGACCC